TTTTCTCAACTTGGTCGTATTGTCAGGGCGACTTAGTTAGACACACTTTATAGGCAAGTCCTCTGCAATAATAGTTATCGTAATTTCCAGTGTCGGACAGTGAACTTGGTACATTCACAGACGTTTCGCCGGCATCATCAGTGAGTCACACCACTTTCAGCACTAAGCTACAACTCGTAAAGAGACAAGTGAAGTCGGTTGATTGACCAACTTTCTTGCGAAACAGTTGTGCTATTACTTCTCATTCTATCCAGGCCAATCTGTCTAGGCCCTACCGTCTTGTATCACTTACGTCCTATCTCAAGTTATGACTTGTGTCTATTCCTTTTCCAAAGGTGTGCCCTTTTTTGGCGAATTTAACGTGGCGTCATCACACCTACCGTCTGACTTGCCTCCCCTCTCTCTGATCAGACTCGTTTCTCATCTTTCTGGTTGACCGATTTCATTTGGTTCCCGCCTCAGTGTACGTTTTAATTCACACGCCTTCTGTAGCACCTAACAAAGTCGCTTCATCTGCAGAGCAAATAGATCCTTATTCCCATGCTTGCAGATATTAGGCATTGCCCTTACGAGGGCATGGTTGAAATAGTAATGATAGTACACAAGTTGAGGTAGAAAGTTCTTCAAGGGATTGCCCTCACTTCTCTCCTTGACGAGTTGTAGATTGGCCCTGGCAGTGGTAAGACGCACTAACGCTGCCGACTGCTCTGTCGGCAAAATCGTCTGAGAATGTACTAAGTCCACGGTCCGTGCTGGGAATTATGTTAAAAACGATAGCAGAGATGCGTCCCAATAAGTCGCCTGATAACACGACCAGGTAGGGTAACGAGGTCTATACATAGAAAGGAGACTGCGACCAAACTAGAGGTCAGAACAGATTGGCCTCAAGTTCTTTGTTTAAGTTAAGTAAAGTTGCATGGTCAAGATGTATTATGACAAGTCTTATAATAATGAAGAGTTCAAATACACTCCAGAACAGATAATATACACACAAGAGATGACCATGAAGACAATCTGAAAATACAAGCTCCAATGCTCTTAATTTTAAAGACACCATGTTACATAATAGCTTATGAAGAAAAACGCTTGTGTATTGTAAACATTACCCTCGCC